AAAGAGTGTTAAAATAGATAAATGTGTGGTGTTACTTCCTTTGATAAACCCTTCTGCCCACCAACAGCCCATAGCTTCAACATGTCCTGAGAAAAACAAATGCATCACGATGTATTTAATAATCCTTGCAATACTTTCTCTACCATTACTTTATCTGATCTCTTTCTTGATCTGCAGTATTTGTTTCTTCCATAGTACTGTCTGACAGCAAGTTCCACCACTTAATTGCTCATTGTTTGAAAAACAATGTTACAATTTCAACTGTAGAATTAAATTTTTATATTGATAAATACAATTAACACACCAGATTCTGTCCTGATCAGCCACACTTCAATTCAAGAGTGTTAAGTGAGAGGGATACAGTTGACTAAATGCTTGTATGTCTTTTAAGTTGCCATAATTTCTACCATATTCAATGACTAGACTTTGTTAATAAGGATTTAAAAATTGCCTTCAGCTACATCTAACTTTTTTGTATTGAGAAGAATATTTAGCTGCAGTGAATCCTGAATTTCACTTAAATGAGCCTGTCAGCATTTGGATATAACATCCTTGGCTAGTGGATATAGGTATTTTAGCTAGAGAGTTTAGGTCATGGTTGCTTAGGATGTTGTTGTCCGAGAAGTAATTATGCCAAAATATGTATTTCTTGCTGACATTTCTAGCTGAGATTCATTCTAAAACTTCCAGGTGGTAAATAGTTTTGCCTGGAGGCTTGTAAAGATGTGCGCTGGCTGAGCTGTCTAATAGACATGGAGGGCTTAACGGTCATGTAAAGATACAGTAAAATAAAATTGATATAATTTGACATGTTTATTTTCCAGAGCTCCTTTTGTAGGTTAAATGCACAGCAGTGACTTTTCTCTCTGTTATACAGAGGAGCCAATATACTGTTACACACCACACAACTTCACCCGCGATCAAGCCTTGTATGCCAGAGGATATTGTTGGACAGAGTTAAAAGATGCCTTGCCAGGAGTTGATGCCAGCCACTGGCCCTCCTTGTTTGAGCATAAGTTCCTACCTTATGCACTGCTGGCTTTTGCTGGGATAATGTACATTCCAGCTCTGGGCTGGGAATTTCTGGCCTCAACCCGACTGACTTCAGAGCTTAATTTTTTGCTCCAGGAGATTGATAACTGCTACCACCGTGCAGCTGAAGGGCGGGCACCAAAAATAGAGAAACAGATTCAGTCCAAAGGTCCAGGGATCACCGAGAGAGAGAAGAGAGAAATCATTGAGAATGCAGAGAAGGAAAAAAGCCCTGAGCAGAATTTGTTTGAGAAATACCTGGAAAGAAGAGGACGAAGTAACTTCTTAGCTAAGCTTTACCTTGCGAGACATTTGTTCATCATATTTTTAAGCATCATACCAATTACATACTTATCTACCTACTACGCTACACAGAAGCAAAATGAATTTACGTGTGCCCTCGGAGAGCCTCCAGATAAAACGAGCAGCTCCAAACTGCACATCAGAGTGAACTGTAAACTGCCATCTGTCCAGCTCCAGCGGATTATTGCTGGTGTAGATATCGTTCTCCTCTGCTTCATGAACTTAATAATCCTCATCAACTTAATTCACCTCTTCATATTTCGCAAGTCCAACTTCATATTTGATAAACTGAACAAAGTTGGAATAAAGACCAAGAAACAGTGGCAGAAGTCCCAGTTTTGTGATATCAATATCTTGGCCATGTTCTGTAATGAAAACCGGGACCACATTAAATCATTGAACCGTCTGGATTTTATTACAAATGAAAGCGATCTGATGTACGACAACGTGGTACGCCAGCTGCTGGCAGCGTTGGCACAGTCCAATCACGATGCCACGCCAACCATGCGCGATTCAGGGATCCAAACGATAGACCCAAGCGTTGATCCAGCAGACATCGATGGTAATGAGCAGCTCATCATTAAGAGACCAAGGAAGAAGATGAAATGGATCCCGACTACCAATCCCCTTCCTCAGCCATTCAAGGAGCAGTTAGCCATTATGAAGGTTGAAAACCACAAACCTGAAAAACCCAAGCCTGTGCGGAGAAAAACAGCAACAGACAGCCTTATAGCTCCCTTGTTAGAGTCTGCTGCAAAAACCTCACAGCAGTCGTCCTCTCATAAAACAGAGCCAAACACCATCCCAAGCACAAGCAGCGAAAAAAAACACACACGACACTTTTCCTTGGACGTTCATCCATATATACTTAGTAGCAAAAAACCCAAGCCAGAGATTCAAGCCATGCCCTCCATGCCTACGTCAAAAAGCCAAGAGGGTGGATTTTTAAACCAGGAAGAGAATGTCGTAGTACACGTTACCTCCTCTCTCAAAGGTACAGTATACCATAATGCCCTTACCACCTCCACAGGCCATAATTTGTGTAGCGATCTTCAAGAGCTCAAGACTTATCTGAACTGTTTGATCTACCTTGCTAAAGTTCGGGATGGCTAATAACCTTAGGGCTTGCAGGCCTCAGAAGTAGAGGTTCTCTCTCTTTTAACAGATATGTGGGGATAAGGATTATTACAGGTAGAGCTGCACAAAACAGGCAGACAAACAGCTGTTGGGTGGGTAATTTTTCAGATAGAGTCATAGAATGTGTTGGGTTGGAAGGAACCTTTAAAGGTCATCTAGTCCAAACCCCCTGCAGGGAGCAGAGACATCTTTAACTAGAGCTGGTTGCTCAGAACCTTGACCAAACCAACACTGAAAGTCTCCAGGGATGGGGCCTCCACCACTTCTCTGGGCAACTTGTTCTAGTGTTTCACCACCCTCATTGTAAAAAATTTCTTCCTTATGTGCAGTCTAATTCTCCTCTCTTTTAGTTGTAAGCAGGTTTTCACAATGATGAATGTGGTCATGCCTTGTCAAGGAAGTGAGGACTGTTTGGCCTCTATGATACCCTTCCTGCTCCACCAGCACCTGGCACATTTTAAACCTGTCTGCTTTTCAAGTCGTATGGAAACTGACATGGTAGATGACCAGTACAGTCCAGTGATAACTACTTAGGAGTATGTGAGAAACTGTGCTAGTGGCAGCTAAAGCTGCCTGTAGGAAAGAAATCTCTCTAACTGTCAATTCTTTGGGGTTGGCATGTGTTTGTCACCTAGGAAATCACAACTCAGATTATGGATATTGCTCTTCATGTAAGAGATGTTTTAAATTGCCATTTTTCTCATGTGGCCCAGAGGATGACTGGTCTGAAGTGTGGGTGCTGGTCAGGGATTCAGGAATTCTGCGATTCCCTTCCCATGTGACCTCACAGGAGATGCTCTTTCTGTGCCTCAGTTTCCTGTGTGTCTCTTGGCAATCCTGTCTCTCTCTTACCCCAAAGGAATGTTTCAAATATATCAATAATTGTTAGGTGCTAGAGTGATGGGGAATGCCATGTGAGCATTTAGAAGAGTGACAGATCAGTAGATAAACCAATAGACAGATATTTTCTTGTTTATTTTTGTAAGCTACTGACATAAGAAAGAAGCACTATGCAGTTGAAGTTGCAGAAAGATTTGTATGTACTTAAAGCAATGGCTCTCATCTCATTACAAGCTAAGACCTCCCTCTGGGCTTCGACAGACTGACAGCTACCGTCACCCCACTGCCCAGCAAAGAAGTGATTTGAGGTATAAAAGTTTCTGTCACTTCCAAACCCCTATGCTCCTTAGAGCCCTCCAACTCCCCAATGTGCATGTGAGCTGTTCTACAGCATTCCTTATCCAGTCACCTGCTCTGATTTCAACTCCTCAACACTGCTGGGGTTTTCTGGTCTCAATTACCTTCATCTAAATCAGTGATCGAATATTTTAAGGGCATAAAATAATTCCTATAGTATTCGGGCTCTGCTACTCCCCTTTTCCATAAAAAAAATTCCAGCTTTGCTTTTGAGTTAGACCTATATTGCAGTCCACGAGGTGAGGTAGACAGCGACATCAGTTAATGTCAAATTGCTGAGTTCTTTCTAAAGACAAGTGGCTTACAATGTGTAACCACTAGTTTTTCCCATTGAAAATATCAGTGCGTTTGTATTCCATCCTGTGGATTTCAGCAGTCATGTTTGTCAAAACATTAAATCATAACATTTCTGAAACACCTGCCAGACTGTAGAGGAGAATAAAAGATACTTTTTGTTTGTTGTTTTTTTTCATTTTACAAAAGTACCATTCACATAAAGAAGCATGAGCATGTGTTAAAAGAAAGAGCAAGATTTAAAAAACCCATTTGTTGTTTGTCCTGTTTCCCTTAGCTTACCACCTCGTTGTTTTGCAACAGCCCCGTTGGATTTCTCAAAGGGTTCCCAAGAAAATTAATTTCTGGGTCCACTCCTGCTCCCACTGAAATCGGTGGCAAAACTGACAGTGATGTGTTATTGATTCAGGACACTCCTCTCTGATGGACTGGAAGGGTGGAAGGCTGCCTGTCTTTTAACTGGCTGCTTTGTTTTCTTTTAGACACCCCTCATCCTGCAAAAGAGATCCTGTACTCATCTGAGGCATGCAGAACTGCGCCTGCCGCTGGGGCTTTTGTCACTTGTAACCACAACCACATAGCCACGACCGCTGCCGCAACCAGCATGACTTTGAACCAAGTCAAGCCAGAACCAACGCCTGCGCTGAACTGTAACCCAGCCCCCGCTTTGCTGCACATCAACACGCTGTATGAGGATCACGAGGAGGAAGTTTCCAACATCATAGACAACGGTATTCACTCACCCGCTGACACCGGGGAAATTCTCTCCATCCCTACCCCAAAGCAGATAAGGTTGGCGACGTTTGATGAACCCATGGCCATAGTGAGCTCGGTGGAGTACTGAAGACCCTGGGCTGCACAGCTGCATCCTCGTGGCCAGGCCCACCGCAGCGCAGACCACAGTCCCTGCTTCAACGATGCAACTCACTGCATGAGCATGGAGAGTTTTCACACGGACTATAGCTTTTGGTATTAACACCAAACGGTTTTTCAGGAGCACATCATGAGCACTGTCAGTCATTCACAAAATAGACTAAAGGAAATCTGGTGGAAGTAGAGCTTCCAACACCAAGGCAACCATTAGCTCGAGCTCTAAACTATAGCTTCCTGATTTAAATGGGGGTTAGCACAATTGATGAATGTTAATGTCTGATGGCAGCCACAGTAATTTTAGCGAGTGTTTAAATCCTTTGCATTCCAAATCACTGGTTAAAGTTAAAACAACATGGAGGTGAGGTATACTTTTTTAAGGGCAGCAGTTAAATAAGGGTTTTTTTCTAAGCAGAGAGGATTTTTTTTTCAATTCAGGATTATGACAAAGTTATATGCAAGCAAAATTTTTGTTTGTTTGTTTCTTTAGCTCACTGACGTTGGGCTTGATGGAGACTTAGCTGGAAGGGCCTTACTACCACCAGCATTTAAGTGCGAAAAGATTGATGCACTCAATCTCTTGCATTTATAGATGAAAATACCTGAGTTATGCCCCGCCCTTTAACAAGCTTATATGTTTGATGGAAGATGATGAAATGAAGAGTTTATTTTTTTAAATATATTTTACCATGGGAAAAATTACTTTAATAACTTTTCAAACCAGGTGTTGCTTTTAGCAAAATGTGTACAAGAGAGTCATTGTAGCTGCTTTATTTTTTCATAGTGTACTTACGAACCAGGTTAGAAATTTTCACGGGTGCTTCACTGATAACGAAAAATCTCACAAGGGTCTTTACGAAATATCTTACAAAATATGAAACCAGCAAAACTGTTCTCAAATAACACACAGTCAAAGAAGTCTGTGAATTTAGGTCTGCAGGCTTGGCTAGCCCTTGATTCAGCGAACCCTTAAGGCCATGGATGGCACCAAAATGACTCCTGTGTCTAAAGCTAAGCACACACTGAAATGGCTTTGCTGGATCTGGGCTCTAGTGCAGGCAGACAGTAATCCTGCAGTATGTGCTACCACTCTGATTCAATATTTGCCTTCCTTGGCTCAAAGCACGTCTTCATGCCCATCTTCCTATAACTACGATATGTGTGATTTAAATAGAGAACTCTAGTATAACTAAAACATCTATTAAAAGTGTATCATGCAATAACCATTCTCAGCAAAATTATAGTGGAACAAAAAGTGACTGTGTTAAATTAATATTCCGAGCTGCATTCAGAATTATGTGTGTTTGCTTCATAATTATGTATAACGGTAGAAAAAATATGCAGCACAAATATGGGACTGAAATCTTGAATTTATTTTTAATTTATTACCTCAGACATGGATATATTATACTGATATTTAATGAAAATAGCACTGAAAATAAATAACCTATTATTCTGAATAGTTTAATGTGTACTACTTCCTAGCTTAGTTGCATACAAGTGAGACTTTATTATAAGCAGGACAAAACCACCATTCCCTGCTCCATCAGTTTTGCCCAACCTTTTTGGCCTGAACAGCCAAATACCAAAAAAAAAAAAGCAGCAAGCCCCCAGACATGCACTGCAGACAGAGGTGGGGGCACTGGGAACACCTGAAGGACCTGGCTATAACACCCTGAGGTGAGGGCATGGGGCAGTGCGGAGCTGATGGGGCACATGGAGCCTGGCCCACGGCACCTGGGAGGTGCTGTCTGCAGTGGTTCCTGCTAGCTTGTCTCCTTCCAGCCTCAGGGGCATCAACGAGTGGTCCCGGCGAGCTTGTCTCCTCCCAGCCTCAGGGACATCAACGCTGCCCCCGCAGCCTGTGACAGAGCCGTCTGCATGCGGCACACGGGGGATGTGCAGGGATTTGAGCAGTTCATACACTGCCTGTGGCTCCAGGGCCACAAGCTGGTCAACCCTCTTCTAATCCTCTCAAACACAAGCTGCAGGGTGTTCTGCATCGCTGCCTGCATGACTGATAAACCGGTGTGACCTTTTTCAGTAACAAACCTGCACCTGCATAGCCAGGGGTTCACTCTGCTCCAGGTGCAGGAGGAAGCTTTCCGCAGTGAGGCAGCCTAGGACTGGAGCATCACCCATGATGGGACTGTGAGCAAGGTCTTAGAATCATAGAATTGTCAAGGTTGGAAGGGATCTTAAAGATCATCCAGTTCCAACCCCCCTGCCATGGGCAGGGACATCCCCCACTAGATCAGGCTGCCCAGAGCGCCATCCAGCCTGGCCTTAAAAACTTCCAGGAATGGGGCTTCCACCCCCTCTCTGGGCAACCTGTGCCAGTGTCTCACCACCCTCATGGGGAAGAACTTCTTCCTAACGTCCAATCTGAACCGATCCATCTCCAGCTTCAATCCATTCCCTCTAGTCCTGTCACTACCCGACATCCTAAAAAGCCCCTCACCAGCTTTCTTGTAGCCCCCTTGAGATACTGGAAGGCCACAATAAGGTCTCCTCGGAGCCTTCTTTTCTCCAGAGTGAACAGCCCCAACTCTCTCAGTCTGTCCTCACAGGAGAGCTGCTCCAGCCCTCTGATCATCCTTGTGGCCCTTCTCTGGACACGCTCCAGCATGTTTCACATCCTAACCTGGCCTTGGGGGTAACTGCCATCCGTTGGGAGTCACCTGAAAGCAATGTCACACAGAGACTTTGTAGCGGAACCGAATGTCCTGCTGCATCATATTGACTTAGATGACTACTCTAATTAGAATTGGGGTTTGAGGCAAATTAAAAGCGTTATAGTTAAGTACTTGTTAAACACCAATAAGTAAGTAGAAAAAAAATCCAGAGAATTGCCTTAAGAAATTCAGGAGCCTATTAATAAAGGCAGAGTGAATAAGTAGGACCCTGAGGCCAGATTTAAAGAGATGTAACTCCCTTATGCCACTGTACCTTCACTTGCCAGAAGGCAGCCTGGTGAATTTCTTTCTGGTTGCAGCAGCTCAGTTGACCTTGTTACAAATGCCTGGGAAGATCCTTGGGGTTGCCTATTTGCTCTCCATTTGGTGTCACACTGAGCAATATGTCAACCTGCGGGTCTGTAGCTAGAGTGATACACCAATATATGTATATACCAGTGTCAGGCAAAAGTAGACTCTAAGTCTAAAAACTAAGGATCTGAACTTTGTGTAGTACATGGAAAATAGTAACATTCAATAACTAGAGGGATTTTCATTATGCAGAAAATGCAGGGCTGGGTTCTGGGGCAGGCCCACATACTGATCTGTTGAGGCTGGTGCATCATAGGAAGGGTTGCCCACTACGGTGCATGTCCCCTGTTCATTCAAGAGCAGGACTCAAGTCTGTGTGGACACCTGCCGGTTTCTATTGATTTAGGATCTGTTGGTGCCCTTGAAGAAATCATTGTCACACTCGACTGGAGGACCTTAAAGAACAAAAGGAAAACATATAGCTTTGCTTATCCCTGGGAGAAACTAAACTCAGAGATCACCCACTTCACTCATCTTTACCTGTTGTGTCAGAGGGTCCTTACGGCATCGTCTTTCACGAGCAGAGGCTGGGGATGTCAGGCACCCAGCTCTGGGTGTCAACATGGTACCGACTTGCTAAGGGCAGGGTGGAGGCCCAGACACGTATTTCACTGACCAAGCAACGGAGAGGGAGTGCAGCTTAGTGTTGGCTGATGTGGGGCAGGTAACTCATGCAGGCACAAACACTGCCTTCCTGAACTGAAAGTGTTATTGCCCCTGAGAGGAACTTACCTAAACTGACCAAAGATGAGAAAGAGGAGGCACAGCCTCGTTTCTAAATGTCTCGTTAGCCTGAATTGCATTAGCATCTCCATCTGCCTTGTCGCTGCCTAACGGTTTCAGCTTGACAGATCAGATGACTCACATTCTCCAAGGCTGCTTTCCCATTTACTTCACCAGGAAAAGGACCCCATGCTGAGAGCACAGAAACTTCTTTCATCAGGGTACTCATTCAGAATATATTTGACAACCACACAGGAGAAATAAGTATGTCAGAAACATCTTTTGAGCTATATTTAGGCTGTCCAAACCCAGCAGGAGATCAGACATTTCTGTCTCACAGCCAGCTAGAGAAATGCTTCTGTTGGGATTTTTTTAGTGCAATAATGGTTTTTAGTATCAATGTTAGTAACATTGAACTGTACTGAGAAAATGTACACACACAGAGAGAGGTTTGTATATATCAACTGTATACTTAGAAATTCTATACATACACATGTAAACATGTATCTGTTGCATAGAAATGTTCATCTTCTCTACATTGCTTTGTCAAGAAGCTACACTTCAGCATCTATTTTCTCTTCATTTCCCGTTACCATGCATTAGGCCCAACCCAGCAACATTACACGTCTTTCTGCCCCTGCTGGGATTTTCTGATGCTTGGCGTGCTGCTGAGGATGCTCTGTTCCCTGTAGGGTTAGGTGTGCAGGGTGGGTTATATTTTGATATTGACAGTGAGTCAGGCTCTGACCTTGGGACCTGTTTTCTGTGCAGAGCTTCCTATGACCCTTGGCATCAAAACACGGGACAGAATTTATCTCTGTGCTGGGGATATGGTTAGTACAGCTGACAGCTATTCTGCACATCCTCTGTGTCTTCAGAGCTGGCTCCCAAAGCCAGCGTTGGACCCTGAGGCAAGCAAAGCAGAGCTGAAGCTCCTCTCACCTGTTCCTGGTTAGCAGGCAGCAGGTTATCTGCCACTTAAACATAGACACGGCAGGGCTCACAGGCTCTCTGTAAGACAGAGAGGCTGCACTGAGGGTATTTCATCTCTAGCTTTTAGAAAACTTGTAACTGCCCCTTTCAGGCACTGATGAAAAGCTGAGAGCATGAGCCCAGGCTCCAAAAACCGCTGACTCAGTGAAAACTAAAAGCAGCCTTAAACACACTTGACCTAGTGCTGCATAGGGGAAAAAATTCTTCCTTT